AGCCGACAGTGACATCATCTGATGGAGCAGACAAAAGTCATTCCGGGTCAACATTTCATAAGCCGCAACTACATTTACTGGCCAGTGCCAGAAGCTAGATATTAGCCTTTGATGATATGCTTAGTAAGACCAGAGCAAATTCAGGCTAGGCCAGAGTGCTTGACTGGGTGATATTCTGTGCCACGACTTAACATCTGATTACTATGAAAGTGGCAGGAGAGCTAAAAAATATAGATACAGAATCTTATAGCGCTATAGTCAGTGCTTCAGACCCAAGAAATTTAGTCGATGCCGCGGTCAACTCCCTGACTTTTGCTTCGCTTGCTAAACCTGGTTATCCTCGCTTAAGAACTCATTTTCTAGTTGAAACCGTCAAACATTTACATTTAAACTCTCAATTCTACTGAAAATATTGCAATCCAAAATTTTTGTTTACCCAATTTGGTTAGATGAACGGATGACGGTCAAAGTTGTACATGCTTTGAGGCTGAGCCTTCCTTAAAATTTCTATATTTTGTTTGGATTTGCCTTTTTTTTGGTTAACTGTTTTGTTTATAGTGCAATCCGAGTCGCCTACTTTTTTATGCGACTTGAAGCCTTGCTTATACTACCTGTTATGCTGTGTATAGGGTATAACAAAGTTTGCTAAATCAAGTTCCCGCTGAGTATTCTCCTTTTTTATGCGGCTTGCTGCATTGCTTATACTACCCGTTATGCTGTGTATAGGGTATAACGAAGTTTGCTAAATCAAGTTCCCGCTGTGTCTGGGAATAGAGCTGGCGAAGTTCTGATTTTAATTTAGATAAAGTGTGCTATGGAAATCAGCAGCAATGGCATTTGGCATACCTCCACTTGGTTTATCCAAGCTCACATCAGTAGCACAAAACTAAACACTCTATAAACACACAAATCCTAGAGGGTGGGGGCCCAGGTAAAGCTGTAAATAGCGCGCTTTCATGTAGATAATTAATCACTGGGCACTGCTAACAATTTTCTGCGAGTTATTTGCAACCGCTTTTTGCATTTTGCTATCCGTGAAAAGTTTCGCTCGCTTTGGGCTTGGGTTTCGGATTTGCGTTAGCTTCGTGCTGGAGTTTGAGTTGGGGCTTGGGGCTTGCGGCTTGTTTTGTGGCCAATCTAAATGCATTTTATGCAAATTTATTTCTGATCTTATCGCACAATTTTCAAGTTCTCAGCCGTGGCGGGGGCATTGTGTAGTTTTCAATTTATTGCTTAAGCTTTCGTGGCAGGCGCGGAAATGAAATCAATTATCCGCCCTGTTGGCCATTCGATGCACGAAAGGAAATCGAAATTATACGAATTAACTGAATGCTATTAAACATTTCACCCGACTCCGGGCAATATGAGCTTAAGCTTTACCTACGGAAAATTAATATATTGGTATCCCTTCGTTCGATTTGATTTAGCCGTGCTAATCTATCGGGATGTTTACGTATCTGTTAACGAGAGCCAGAATGTTATAAATTTAACTGCATTTTATATTCGTGAAATTATTATTATTATTTTATTGTATTCCACATATTAGGTTGAATAGTAAACGAAAAGCTTTCGAATCGCTTTAACTGTTTGGTATATTTAAATACATGTACACAATTTAAAAACGTTGGGAAGGGGTTAACTTTTGGCCCGGGAAATGGCGGCTAACACCTGACAGCATATACGCTTTGTGAATGTGCATATTATATACAATCGGGTATTTACAATTCTTAGTGCTTATTGCTGCCTCCTTCCTCTATGCATTTTGATAAGCAATCGATTCTAACTACTAGAAGATGAAAATTGGCAACGAAAACTATTTGAACATTGCGCACACATGCATAACTAAGCTGGAACTGAAGTGGAATGGAGTGGGCAGGCTGTGGACTGGAGTGGAGTGAGTGTGTTGGAGTGGTGCTCGTGCATAAGGACGTGGCAGTTGCAAATGGCAAAATATTTAAATGTAACTCAATTTGGAACGCAATATTGCGCTGGAAACCACTGCAATAAGGATGCAGGACAACAGCAAGGAGTAGACAGCAAGTGTGCCCTTCTCCATAATAACAAGATATTTTTATTTGATTTATTTATAAGTGCAATTTGTGCACATTTCTTTTGCAACGCTGCCAGTCCCCAATGCCTTTTGAGCTGTGATACACACACATGCATGTACACACATATACGAATATAAGGGTTGGTCCTGCGACTGCAGGGAAATGCAATGTTTTATTGACGACCGGCAATTCAATTTGCAAAGTCTGTAATGTATTCTGATGTCAATATGCAAGCAAAAATACTAATCAATAATCAATTGAATTCAATTGAAAAGAGTCTAAGGTTCATTCCTAATATAATGAGTAATATAACACTACGCACAACCACAAAATATGTACACAATCAAATATAGGATTTAAGATATTAAAAACATATGAGCTTAACAAAAACTTTTAAATGTTCAACAACTTAAAGTTAGCGTAGAGAACTTATGAAAAGAGAACACATGGTGGAAATAACAAAGATGAAGATTCTAATTATTATGTGTGTGGCAGAAGAACGTATACTTAATATCCGGTGTATTTGAATAAGAATAATGTTATACAAAAAAATATGATTTTAGACCAATAACGGTGACAAATCAATTAATAAATAATAATTAGGATTTCAGACTATTAATATTATTAGAACTAAAATCAAGTAGAAATCGGACAATGAATATTAAAATAATCAAAATAGTTAAACTCGGAGTAAATTGAAAATATCTTTTATGTTAATATTTGTCTTAAACGCATACCCTTTAAATTAACCTGACAGTCAGTTGTAAATTCAGCATATCCAGATGATACTTGGCTTATCTATGCACACACCTTTAGAAAAATGCTAACCGTTTGGGGCTGCTCGAAACGGTGTGAATAAACGCAAGAGAAATATTAATGCGGACACCTTATCAAAAATGGCAGCAATCAGCACGCTCAGTTAGCACCTCATTATAGGCTCAAAGGCAGGAAGGGTGCAGGCAGCCAAATCCATTGCTGACCAGCCCATACACCCATACACCCATACACACACACACGCACACATGTTCAGCGTGGCAGCAAAAAACATTTCGCCTTCTGCGGCCAGCCCAGTGGCTCTTGCTGTAGCCGTCGAAGCGGGTATGCTACACGCCCGTCAAAGCCAAGTGGCGTGTCAATTGGCCATTAACATGGGGTCCTGCCCGATAAATATAAACACACAGCGAGCAGCTCTTCAGGCAGGCCTTGCCCTGATTGATGCTGAAAGTGTGAAGCCAGTTATCCCACCTGTCTAAGTATGCTCGTATTTTCTGGTATTGCCTGGCGGTCAGTTTGAAAAATATATTTCAACTTAAGGGTTGGCTGTCGTGTTGTCAGGGGAATTGCTGCAAGTTAGCATCCCAAGCGTGATACGAAAAATTTTAATTAAAAAATTAAATGCGGCAACACTTGGAAATTTGTAAGAAAATGCTCATTAAAAGTTTTCACCTGGTGAGATGCTCAAAAGCGCAAATCTCGACACTAATTTTCTTTTTCATGTAATTATGTGCAGCAGCAAAAAAATAGAGAACAAACTTGCAATGCAACTAGAATGCATTACTAGCAAATACCCTGTGCGCATAACTTTAGATAGATTGTAATATGCTAACATATATTTTAAATCGTATATTTTGCTGATTATCACATAGTGATAGATTCCAAATAAAGTAAACCCATTTAATAAATGAAAACGTATAAATAAATATTTAAGATAATAATAAATTCAAAATATAAATATAATAAATATAACGGAAAAGGTAAATCTTTTCATTATTTTTTTAATTAATTACTTCGACTTTCCTTAGTTCCCTTTCTTGGATTCGAACTGTCATTCTTTGATAAACCAGAAGAATCTCTGGCATAGTTAGGCAACGAGAATAAAGAAAATTTTTAAATATTTTTACGCAATTATTATGGTGTTTCACTGGAAGGTGAGCCCTTATGCTCCCTCAAGATTGTCACCCAACGGGAATGTGGCAACGAAAGATATGTATATAATATGTGCCAAGGAGGTACTTGTTTTTTTTACGTCCCTTACATACCAATCTTCAAGATACCCTCTTCGCCTATACACTTACAGGGTATTGAAACCTTGCTCTTGTGCTGCATGCAATTGTTTTTTCAGCGCCTTACACCCAATTTTCTTTACACACTTGTGTTGTGGCAAGCCAGGCAGGGACTGTTAGCACAAAATATTTTCACTCTTGACACGACTTGTGAGTTGGCCGTGCGTTGAGTTGATCTAAAGCTCAATTAACTTTTAGTTAACTTTTCGTAAGCCTAGAGAACTAAAATTGAGTCCAAATTTAATAAAAAAAATAACAACAGACTAGTACATTTATAAATATGGCTGATTATACAAACATCTTCAGATGCCGCCGAATGGTTGTCGTATTGGAGACAACCCTGCCTGCTTGTCGAGGAAGCCGAAACCACACCCAACTGGAAGAATCATACCACAGCTGGATGTAATGTGTGTGTTACTAGACATACATTTTAATAAATCTTCATACTGATAAACTGTGAGCAATTGACGTTTTATGGGCGAGATTGGGTTCAAGCAGATCTGCTGCTATTATGTCGTGTTATGTGCAACCAGGTCCCAATGGAGCTGGGTGGGCGGGATTTCGGATGGGACAGTCGGAGAACTGCAGGCTAAATCAAAATTGTCTGTTCGGTGTCAGTTTAATTGCAAACGTAAATTGGATGCTGCCATTTACAACGTTTTCATTTGCTACGAATGCTCCGGCTCCAGCTCCAATGTTGGCCCTGACAGACATTTCTGGCAGTTGCTTCGAGTCCTGTGCACGACCAGGACGCCGACCCATCCACACACACACAAAATGCGAACGTTGCACAAATCTGAGTTGTGTTAATTGGACTCATTTTAGAAAAGTTGGAATTGTCTATTTCGGATTGGCAGCTCGGACGTTTGACAGGCTGTAAAATGGATTGCAACCAGAAAATCCTGGCTAAAGGAAAAGTCCTCATTTATTACAATACACACACTCTCTCTTTGAAAAGATTCAGAATATAATTATATGCAAAAATTAATTATAAGCAGACTCGTCGGGCTCCTCCTCGTCGTCAATTGCCTTATTCTCGTTATTGCTCTGATCCTTAATTGATTGTATTGTATGCCAGTCATAAACACCATCATTCACATATTTGAGGCGATTGAATAAATCGCTGAAGCTACGCCGCAGGCCAAGATAGTTCGGTTGTTTCTCGAATCTAATATTGCGACAATAGATCAGGTACGAGGCGAACTCATCCGGAAAGCCTTTGCAAAGCTCCTCCGGCTTGATCGACTGTTTCTTCTCGGCCAACATCTCGTACTTCTGATGTTTCGGCCCCGATAGGCCCTGCCAGGGCAAGCTGCCGCGCAGAAAGTATATGAGCACATAGCCCAGAGCCTCCATATCATCGCGACGGGCTAGCTCAAAGCCCAGGAGTGCGTTGATCGAGGCGTAGCGCGCGGTGCCCGTCATCCTATTGCCCCACTTGAAGGGTATATGCTCGTTCAGTGCGGAGTCGTAGTATCTTTTGGCCAGACCGAAGTCAATGATGTACAATTGATTGTTATAGTTCCCGACGCCCATCGCAAAGTTATCGGGCTTGATGTCGCGATGCAGAAAGCTCTTCTGATGCACAAACTCAATCCGTTCGATCATCTGGAATGCCAGCATGAGCACCGTCTTCAGTGAGAAGCGGCGCGAACAGTAGTTGAACAGATCCTCCAGCGATGGGCCGAGCAGCTCCATGACCATCACATTGTATTTGGGCTCAGTAAAAAAATCATACACACGCGGTATCCCAATGCCCGAAAGCAGAAATTTATATAGCTTGAACTCAAAAAGTAGCTGAGGATGATTCGCCCCAGTGTGCTCCAGTTTGAGTGCTACGCGCCGGCCATCGGTCTCGTCCTCGGCCACGAAGATGTCGCCAAAGGTGCCGTTGCCAATTTTGTTGATGATGCGGTATTGGCGTATATAAACGACATCCTCGCTCCCATTACTAGTCGGCTGGCCAAACATGGTAAGTGGAAGTGGGGCAGCGATTTGTCCAATTTGCACGCTTTTTGTTTGTTTCTCTTTGCTGCTCAACAGAGTTGCAGCTGCTTTCTCTATCGTTTCCGTTTGTTTCCCAAAATTATCGATTGTTTTTATCGTCAGTATTTATCGTATCGTTGCGTTTGCAGGCGTTCTCACTGTCAACGTTTTCACTATGCCGCTGCATTTCGACGTTATGCGTTCCAGCCACGAGAGACGTATACAGCAACTGGAGCAGGAGGTTCTTGATTGTTGCCGAGAACTTAATAAGCTAAAGAAGGAGAAACAATTTCTGGAGAATCAAGATCAGTTCATCAACTATGTGAAGACGGAGACGCATTTAATCTGGAAATTCGACATGAGCGAGTTTCCAGTGAAAAACATCAAACTGGAGCTTAAGAATAGATGCGTCAAACTGCAAGCCTATCGCAAGCAAAAGGGTCAGTTTATGGAGGTCTACAGAAAGTTCCTGTTACCAGACATTGTTGAAATCGATCTGAGCGCTAAAATGGCCATCAATGGTATTCTGACCATACAGGCTCCATTAAGGGCGACAGGTGACTAAACTGCAGTCAAATTTTGGATTATATATTTCTCACCTACCTCAGCCAAAAATGGGGATGATTATTTTCTAATAAATCTTTTGCTATACTTTTGTAAAGGACAATTGCTTTGGGTCTCCAAGTTATTCGTATCATTGCCATGGCTCAGATCATAGCGGTGCCCAGCATTTCAGGCCGGGTTCCGCACGGCAGCATGGGTTGCCATGTGGTGGGCACATGGGGTATGTCTGGGCCTCTGGAACGCATGGGAACAAACTTATTTGCGGCGTTGGCTGCTGAAATTGTAGTTGAGCATTCAATTTTTGCTCGCTCCTCAAGGCATCCAGAAGTTCTTTCTTCAGTTCCTCCACATATGATGGACGGCAATCGCAATTCGCATTCTGATCACTGCTCAGCTTCGGACAGCACAAATTTCCGCATGCTTCTTGATTTTTCCACAGGGGATTTGCAGTGCAGAGCAATTCTACCTTGTTATGGCATGGTGCAGTTGCTGGTCGAGCATTTAGAGTGCACTGGGCAACCGATTTACACGGTTGTAGTTCGTTTAAACATTTGCAGCAACACGACTCTTCCGCTTGACAGGCGTTGACACATTGGCCTGCTCCGGCTCCGCACTCCACAGGTCTGCCCCTATATAGTGTGCTTTCCAGACAAGCAGCAGAACTATCACAGATATTTCTTTTGCATGGCTGATTTGGCTCAATTATGTTAAAAGATATGGTACTGGCTTTCTTACATCCAGTCTTCGGTTGCTCGCATCTGGATGTGGAAAGTATAGGTTTTGGCGTTATTATGCTCTTTATGCAGGTAGTGCTGGTTTTAGGAGTCATAAGTTTTGATTGATTGCAGCGCACGCTCATAAAGTCATTTTCCGTACAAGCGATACTAGTACGGCTTAAACAAGGCGAATGTGGAATTGACTCCGACACGGTAACTCTACAGTTGCTTCTAGAGTTACAGGGCAATGGGGGTCTTGACATGCTTAAGTTACACTTGCTTCCCGAACACACGGGGTTGCATGCAGAGTTCGTTTTAATGGCACAAGTCGAAGGTACCTTGTGGCAAGAGAAGGCGCAGTTGGGCTGTTCCGATAATGAAGGCTTCTTACATGACGATATTATTCCACTGGGACAAGGTAATTTTGGAAGGGAGCAGCAAGGCTTCGGCATCTCCGATACTGCAACGCAACTGTTGATTCTTGAAGCCAACTGGCATCTTGTTCCACTATGGGATTTCGACTCCAACTGGCATTTGTCTGCACTCGACTCCAACTGGCATTTTGCTACACTGCTTGTTTTGCAAACGGGTTCGACCAATGTGGTTGTGATTTTGGGCGGTTCGACCAAGTTTCCGCTGGTGGTGCAAATAGTTAGGCGTAAATTGATTGTACTAGGCACAGTAGGAGTTTCCTTTTTGGAGCAAATAGAGGAACAAGATTTCCGTGCGTCAACCTTCGGGAAGCAACAAGGTGTAGGTTCCTCAGCATTATTTGGGCAGCTATAAGTGCAGCATCCAATATTCTTGTCTGCATTGTTATTGGCACAGCAACAACGGATTGGGGCAACATCCTTGTCGGCAGATACACAAGAGTTGGGTGCTTCAACACATGCTGCTTTTTGGAGAAAAACAGCACCTTGACACGATGGCTCGTCCAAATTTCTGCAATATTCACTGCAGCATTTAGAAACTCCCCTGTTTTCACACTCAAACTTAGAGTTATTTACCTTCGGAAGATAATTGGTGCATGACATGCAGGACAGTTCGTCACCACATCTCTTCAGGCATCTGTTTTTGTATACCGTTGGGTAAGCGGCGCATCTTGTTTTCCGGATCGATGTACCGCAATAGCTGGGTTTTATGGGGCAGTTTGGATACCGCCCACACCTTACGCCACATGATATGCTGCTGAAGGAGTTGCAGCAATCAATGCAGGGTTTACTATGCATACGGTTCAAATTGCAGACTGAAGCCTCACCCGGGCAACAGTATCGCAGATTGGGCCTTCGGCAACATTTTATCCGAGACTTGCATTTCGACCGTTTGAAAAATCCAGAGACCTTTTGCTTAAGCGACTTCTGGTTGCATTTTCGAGGCACATCACAAAACTGGGAATGACTGGGCCGAGTTAAGGGATTATAGCCATGGCACGACTTCTGACAGCTACTTGGCGGCCAAGGCTCTATGTATGTTTTGACCGGCCGTTGTGGGTAGGTCATGCTGTAGATATCACAACCCGAGTCTGAGCAGTTAGGCTCCGGCTCATATTCAAAGCTTGAAATATATTTTCGCTTCATTCTCTTATAGGGAATTTCAACAGCCGAAGCACGAGAGCATAATTCGTATTCTGGATATCCATATCTTTGTTTGGGCATTGCTGCACATTTCCTTGCTTTTTTTAATATGTTATATGGTATCTCACAATCATTAGGGAAAAAATCAACAGATTTCCTTCGAACGGGTGGAAATCTATACAACTCAGGATCATCATAACAATCATAATCATACTCATAATTATTATACCTATTAGGCTTTCGGTAATAGTATTTTCCAGCGTTTGGAATTGCTGCATTGTGATAAAAGTCCCACTCTGAACCGTACTGTACTGGTGAATACATTGGCTCAGGATTATAGTAGTTATAAGCTGCCACATAATTAGGATCGGTATAACCAGAAGCTTGCCTCTTTTCTTTGTAAGGAGCTTTGTTCAATAGCTTGTTATGAGTATACTCATTATGTCCAGAGGGATTCAATTTGTATGATTTATCAGTCACTTTTGTCGGAAAGTCGCAGTTGTAAAAAGCATTGTAAAAGTTATTGTTTCCTTCATAGTACTTTTCGTGTCGCACCTTCCTTGAATGATCCCTTTCCCGAGTGCGCTCTCTATTATACCCAAGATCGGAGAATGGTTCCTTTAACGTTTCTTGTTCTAGCTCTCGTTTAGGTTTTCTATGAGTCCGTTCTTTGAATGGCTTGTAACTTGGAGGATTGTAATTTTTTTCATACGAGTTCAAGTTTAATCGGCTTGGGCATTCGTAAGACTCCATGAGGTTTCGCCGGTGCGGTAATTGACGTGTACCTTTATTAGTGTGCTTTGGACAACGCTCAGGCTTGTAGGGTGGTTCCCTTAGACTTTTTTTATCTTGTTTATAGCTAAGGTGATCAAAACTCATAGTCGACCTCCTACGTGTTGCATTTAACCGTCTACAATATTTGTCGAACCCACTCAAAAAACTACGACTTTCGGCAAAAAATTTGTTTGGCACCGCAAAAGACATCGAACTATCCTTATTGTATTTATCTTCTACAGCTCCAAATAGACCTCCGCCTGGGTTTCGCCCTAAAATGCAATCTATGATGAATGAAGTGTCCAAGCTGTGAAATACATCTGAATTAACTCACCATTTTGATCTGGTGTAACGACCTTGTTGAAATTATTGTTGTGATTTTGTACAACCTCCGAGATGCCAATACTAAAGCACATGGATATTCGTTTCAATTGGTCCTCGTCTTCCTCCTCCTCCGAGTGCATGAAGCGCAAACTGCTTCGCGTTTCCATTTTAGCCCATAAAATAAAGAGAACCGCACAACCTCATGGGTCCACCAGCCCAAGCTTTTCTAACATTAACTAACAATTTTTGCGCACATTTGTTTTTCGTGCTAATATGCTTAGAGTCCTCATAATATTTATCGACATATCGATATGTTTCATTCCATCGTCCCACATGAACTACAACTTGCAAATCGGTTTGCTCAGTTTAAAGAGTTACGCCATCTTAGGTAAGCGCTGGCTTATATGTTTGTACAGATGTTTCTTAGATTAGATTTCACTTTCAGTGCAACTGCCATGCCGGTTATATCTCGTGCGACACAAACGGAGCCCGCGGATCGTCTGGCAGCTATACAATTGCGCTTGAAAGAACTGAAAAGCGCCTTGCCGGAATACACCGACTTGACAGCGAATCGTGTAGTTAAGTTTTTGCCAAAACCCATACCTGAACGAAAAAGGCTGCACAGCAAAAAAGAAAGATCAACAATCTTTATTGGCCCCAACCTGACCAGAGTCGATCGGGCCGCCTATCAGCGTATAAATTGGGACTGTTACTCACTGGCCACGCGGGCCCTGTTGGACGCAGTCTTTGACAAGCAGACACTGGCCACAAGGAATATTTCGGGCATAAAGCTGGGCTCAATGGGCCGCATGAGGTCCACGGATTATATACTGGATCCGCTGAAGGTCAGCGATATTGTGCAGCTGGTGCAGCACAAGTGCAAGGTCAGCGAAACCGTCATACGAAAAATTATCAGTATCAAATGCTCGGACACAGCCAATACGAAGCGCTTTAAAAATATTATATAGAATATCACAATGGATAGTTCTGTAAAAGTAAAGATTAAAATATTGTTTGGTTCTCATCTGCGGCTTTGTGCTGGCGTTTAATTGCAGCGAAAATTATTTTATAATTATTGAAAAAGCAACAACAAAGAGATCGGACGTCATTAATATTTCAAGAGTCCTAGAAAATATGCTCTTAATTGCGGAAATATATTTCCATTTCAAAAATAGATGTGATAATTATACAGAAATGCGCGCATTTCCATCACATTAAAATCTCAAACAATAGAGACAGTAAAATGCAGCGCCCGAATAATGAAAAACCAAAACCCAATGCCGAATGCCTGAAAGCGTGTTCAAGTGCGGAAAAGCTGAAAATTACTGTGAAATGAAAGTGCTTTTTAAGTACCCTCCCCCTGCACTTTTTTTCAGAACGAGCCACTCGCTGCCACCCCCGGCAACGAATGCAGTTTCGCGACAGGCGGCAATCGCAATTGCCACAGGCGACGAACATTACGATAGAGCTGGGTGGGATTATCTAGCTTAAATTGTAAGCCTTATGTGCAATCAACTTGGTTTTTATTCAACCCATCAGGTGTAGCCATACTCAAATTGATATTAATCCATCTTATTAAAGTTCATATTGTGTAAATATATTAGACTTATCGAAAACGCTCTCGTTCCTATACTGTGCCGGATCAAGGCATATTTTTCATGTTTTAAGAATATTGTACATTAAACAGAGTATATTAACCAGAAACAATATTTAAGTCTGGGCAAATAATAATAATATATAAATACCTTTTTTTGAAGCTCGTCAAATTTATTCCCAGACAAATAGTAAACTGATTTTCATTTGTGAATAGTTTTAAGCTCAAGTAGTTTTTGTTTAAGCCATCAACTAATTCCGACCATCATATCGTATTCACTTTTCCTCATATCCAGTTAATTTTATATATTTATATTTTTTAACATTAATATCCAAGCAAAATGGAAACAGTCCTGGGATTAAAGGGAAAGGATTTTGTCATGCTTGCTTCCGACACAATGCTGGCAAAATCTATATTTTTTTTAAAGGACAGTAAGTATACCTTACCTGGTTGCAGGGTGCTGAGCAGCTAAGAAGCGGTTGTTCCTTGCAGACAATACAAAAATACGCCCCATTTCGAGCAACAGCATGATGGCGGTTGTTGGCAATAACGGCGACACCTTGCACTTTGCCGATTTCATAGCAACAAATATTTCACTCTATGAAATCAGAAATGGCTACGACATGGACACGCCAACAGTTGTTCACTTCACACGCAACCATATCCTTGACAATATACGTAACAAAGTAAGCTCTCAGGTTGCCATGCTGCTGGCAGGCTATGATTCCGAGTTCGGACCGAGCTTGTGTTTTATAGATGCCCAAGGTACCACTATGCCACTCAACTATTCCGGGCATGGACTGGGCCATCCGATATGCACCAGCATCTTTCATATGATGTGGAAACCAGATCTGACTTTCCAAGAGGGAGTCGACATAGTTCGCAGGTGTGTCGTGGAGATTCAAAACCGATTGGTCATCAATCTGCGCAACTTTGATGTCTTTGTTGTCGACAAGGACGGAGTCCGCAAGCTGCCGCCATTCTGTCCAATACCAATAGGTGCTCCTATGCCTCTACTTACTACTTTAGTAATAGGCAATCAGCAAGTGCCAACGTCTGTTTCGAAACCAGAAATAAAAGAAAGTTCAGTTTAAACTTGCTTTAAAGACTGCCCTAAAAAGTCTGTCAAATTGATTGAGCGCCACCTCTATCTAGAAGTCGGTACCATTTAATTTTAGCTGAACTGTGCCATATGGAATTAATTTCACAATTAAATTATATATATATATATAGTCAACGGCAACCACAATATATATATATATATATATATATATATATATATATATATATATATATATATATATCTTTGATTTCATTTCACCGCAGATCAAATACTCTTAAATATGTGACAGTTTTCAATACGATATTCTTCTACTTTTAAATTTGCATTTCCGCGAGCTTCTGGCGTGCCCTTCTCCGTTCTTAAAAAGAGTTATGCTCTACGTAAATCCTTTAAAACATTGGAAGACCCAGAAAGTTGATCATACTGTGTCCGACCCGTTTATTGTGAATTGCTCACTGATCGAAACATTTGTTTATATTTTCAAGTGCCAAAACGTTAATAGAACCCATTCGACCCCGGTAGTCCGATTTATTTATTCTTACGAACCAAACAATAAATCAATTTTGTTTTAATTAAATCAGTCATCAAACTTAGTTGGATTAAAAAAAAAAAACTTTTCATGCAGACTTATCTCCAAGAAATTGGAATTATCTAACCATAATTAGCAGATGCCCGTCTTGGGTAGATAATAAATGTAGCCCGAATCTTTATAAAAATATTTATGGGGTGCAATATTTTCAGTAGATCGGGCAATTATAAATTAAATATTGAACTGTTTTATAAAAATGATAGAGAAAAATCTGGTTGAAACCGTAAGCTAAACTGCCGACAAATTGTTTCTGCTAATGGGCCTAAAGTGAAAGTAACCTCTGGAAGCGTGCGGGTTACAAAACTGTAATACCCTCTGGCAGGGTATAAGAAGGCTTTTCGCAATTAAACGTCGCTTTGATGTCGATAATTGCGCGAATTGCCCTTAAATGCTGTCCACGCAGATGTCCAGGTATAAAAGCCGCCAGTTTGGTTCCCATTGGTTTTAGATTTGGCTCAAAAGGACAGCGCACAAGTTATGTCAGTCAACGGCAACAAACGGAGCGTCTACTTTGGCATTATTTGGTGGGCGTGGCGATTGTTAGGCGCAGTTGAGCTGAATGCCAGAAATCTTGGCAGCTATCGTTTCTGGAGAGCCGTGGCCTTAAATGCTATCGTCACAGCAGCTTTCCCAGTGATGCTTATTTTGACAACGCTTAGCTTTGAGCTGCCGCTGGATAATCTGATGAACTTTAACATTTCGCTCACTTCGGTGGCCACCTCTGTGAAGTTCCTGATCTATGTCAAGCAGCTGAGGAAGATTCCGGAGATTGAGCGGCTGTTGACTAAATTGGACACACGCGTGACCACAAACGAGCAGCGTGCCGAACATGCAACGACAAGCCGAATGTTGAGCATTATATCCAAATTGTATACATTGAGTTATGTTGCGATTGGCATTAACTCGAATGTATCCGTTTTTTTTCGCGAGCAACGCTCTTTGCCCTTTCCGGCCTGGTTTCCATTGGACTGGACCAATTCGCTGACCAATTACTTCATTGCCCTGATGCATCAGTTTCTCGCGATATTCATGCAAATCCTGCAGAACTTTGTAGATGATTTATTTCCGCCTTTGGTGCTTATTCTCATTGCTGGTCACTGCGATCAGCTCGTCCTGCGCCTCTCAGCTATTGGCTACGACCAAAGTGATCGGCGCAGCAACGAGCAGAAGCTCATCAAATGCATTCGGGATCATCAGATGATCTGTAGGTAAGTCGCTCAATTGTTGATTACTGAAGCAGTTGTACATTTTTCCGCTTACTGGCAGGCTGCACCTGCTCGCCATGGAGATCATCTCGTGGCCATTACTGGTCCAATTCATTGTGATTTCCATTGATGTGGGCGCCGCCTTGTGCGCCCTGCTCTTCTATGTGGAGAGCATGCAGGAGCGTCTATACTATGCGTCCTTTATTTTTGCGCTGGCCCTGCAAATTTTTCCTGTTTGCTATTATGGCACCCTGGTGGAATATTCATTTGGACGCTTGCACTATGCGGCATACAGCAGCAACTGGGTCGACCAGAGCATTACCTACCGAAAGAATCTGATTATCTTTGCAGAGCGAACACAGAAGCTGCCAAATCAACGTGCCGGCAACTTTATACCAATTGCGCTAACCACTTTTCTAGCCAACTGTAAGGCGGCCTATTCCTTCTGTACTCTGATCGCAGACAACGGGACCGATAAATAGGAGCTATTAATTACATTAAATAAATATCAAAGCTTTTCAAAAACGTTTTAGATGTTCCGAATGATTAATTTCAGCATACAATCTTATGTTGCTACTTTAAAGTTTACGAGCAATAAATAAATGTTAAATAAGCTTCATAATATTTATATGGGACCCAATCAATGTTAAGTGTTTGCATATAAAAGCAGAATATTTTAAAATGAGTTTTATTTTAAACTCTATTATTCTCCTTTTCCCTTACTTTCTCCCTTATTCTTCCTTTTTGTCTTTCTCTCTATCTCTCTCTCTCTCTCTCTCTCTCTCTCTGTCTCTCTCTCTCTGTCTCTCTCTCTCTGTCTTTCTCTCAGTGTCTCTATTGACCAACTGCCATTAAATTTAAATTATGTCGAAAGTTCACACTTAATCCCAAAAAAACCCATCTGTTAACATCGAATTCATTTGAATCTTTTATGAGATTAGCCGTATCGAGTTATCAATATGATTTCATTCACATTTACGGATTAAATTTGTAGTTAAACTATTTTCTTTTTTTGGAGGCAAATATCAAAATTAACCTTCAGGATGGCAATGGAAACGATTTTGGGCATAAAGGGTTCGGATTTTGCGATGCTTGCTTGTGATACAATGCAGGCAAAGTCTGTGATCTTTATGAAAGATGGTAAATCAAAAGCACTCTCAACACATATATATATGAATCTGGGATATTTTAAAATCATGTTTAAACAGATCAGTCAAAAATTCATCGCCTCTCCGAGTTCTCAATGCTGGCCGCGGTGGGTGATGGCGGAGACACACTACAGTTTACTGATTATATAGCCAAGCACTTGCAACTATATAAGATATCCAATAACTATCATTTGACTCCACGCGGCACAGCGCACTTCACGCGCAAGAATCTGGCGGACTATATAAGAACAAATACCAGATACCAGGTATCGATGCTAATGGCTGGCTACGATGTCATCGAGGGACCCGATCTGCATTATATAGACTCGTATGGCGCCGGAATGCCTATTAATCATGCTGGCCACGGCCTGGGCAGCCTGTTCTGCGGCAGCATCTTCCAGCGGTATTGGACAGAGGGGCTTAAACCGACACAGGCCTACGATATATTGAAAATGTGCGTGGCCGAGATCCAGAAGCGTTTGATCATCAATTTGCGCAACTTTGATGTGTTCGTTGTGGACAGGAATGGGACCCGTCAGCTGGAATCGATCAATCCTTCCTCCTTTGACGCTGATATGTTATGTCTTTCGCTCTCAGCTAGTATTCAAAATTTAGGCAAAAAGTCTTTAAGATAGATCTAAGTATGGATGATATATGCAAACATCACCTTTGCAAGTTTTAATGGCTTAAGCTAAACGCTGTGGAGATTAGTTGATGTCTTAAGTTGTATGAGAAAAGCGTGAGTATCAGACAATCAAAATGCCACTGGAAACTATAAAAAGTCTTTGTTAGGCCGTCTACCATCTATCAACTAGAAAGAGCCCAAGGTCAGTAAGTGCTTTTGCAGGAAGATGGAAACGCATTTCCAAAGCTCCGGGCAGCTGAAAAACGCAACTTTTTTATGTATTTAGAACCCCAATAAGCCATCCCAAATGGTGGACAAGTATGAAACGAAAACTGCACTGAGTCTTTCCAAGGGTAAGGTATGGCGTCCCCAATTTTATTGGGCATCTGCCGCTTATCTCAATCAATTTGGTACCTCTACAGTATCTGGATACTGTTGCCCAGCAAGGCAGAATTTCTGCGGACTGCACTGCTATCTTACACAATAATAGCCGTATTCTCCCCAGTTATTTTCTTTTAATTTTAGCCATAACTTTTCGGCCCACTCGGGGAAAAAAATCTGAACTTACGCTCAGAAAACCTAGCCCCTTAGCATATTTCATCAATCACTCAATCAGTTTGTCAGTCATACAGCTAGCGCAAGCAGTATCAAATTACATATGCTGATAATAATATTAAGTCATTCAGGTATATATAAATGTTATTATAATAGACCCATGTCTAATATATATATGCGTATTATGTATGTATATGCATATCTGAATGTCTAGCACATTAAATGCTGCTTAGCTTTTATCGATTAAAACTTTTAATGGTTAGAGATAAAACCTCGGGGATTAGTTAGATAGAGGGGGCATTGTGATATAACAGAACATTCTATGGTTGGCTGCGTTCATGTATTAGCATATGTGGCCTGCCTGCCTGCCAGTATGAGGATTTGTTTGTGCAACAATGGGTAAAGTTGCACATAGAGCAATACACACACACAAACATACATGATGTGACACATGGCAACGTCAACTATTGCAAATCGGAAGCAGAAAAGCCAACATGTCTCTATTTCCCCATTTGAACACAGCAGTCAGTCATGCAGTCGGACGGACAGACGGCAAAACTCATAAAAATGTGCACAGCTTGCAACAAAATGCAGTTGCAAGGAACGTCTGCGTGTGGCACTGTTGTTGCCAGCTATCGAGTATGGGTGTGTGTGGGTGGTGTGGGGCCAGGAATTGGCCGTCAGCGATTTTTATTTGTTTGCAGCCGACGTTGCCATCACTAATTGGCCGCACATGCCAAAGTGTCACTCGGCGAGATGTGTTGCTCGCCTGAAGTGAGTCGCTGTGTGGAGTGGAAACACGAAAGACCGATGAAAATGAACAAAAAAAAAATGGAATGCAAATAAAGTAAGAGTTGGATAGATTTACAACAAATCTGTAAATCAGCGAGTTATATCAATCCAATGTACGTAATCAAGAAAAAAATACATTATTCGCGCATGAAATCCCAAATGATTTAAGCATACATTTGGTGATTACATAATATAATTGAATAACTATTGGAAATTAATATTTAATGAATGAATTACATACATATTTAATTGACAGAAATTGAACGAACTGTCAAACATTTTCGCGTGCATAACCCTTTATACGACTATGTGTAACTATAATTGCACTTCACATATTGTTATTATTATTATTAATAATATTAATATTAATGATATAATAACAATATAATAAATGAATAGAGATAATTTTCTTTTATATTACTCATACGACACGGCTTCCCAATTAAAATCCTTTCGAGATAAAATGCAAAAGTATCTAAGAACGTTGTTAACAAGTAGAATTAAACAATTATTATTCACATTTTTCCAAATGATAAAGTTTAATTTGTAAACAAAAAACGATTCATCCAATTGTTTTCCACACAGTTTACAATTTTTCGGGTGAACTTTTTCACGAATCCCTTCTATTCACGCTTGCATCACCTAAGGTAACTAACAATCAATCAGTCAGTCAATCAGTCCGTCAATCCATTAGACAGGAGTACTCACATAGGCTGAAAAATCAATTGTAATATGGTGTATGCTTTCTGAAAAAGAGGTAAACTTCGTTGATTCATACTCAGGAACAGACCTACATATTTAGGCTTAAGCACCTGCTTACAATGTAAACAAATTTCAACTCGAGTCACTTGAGGTACTTCTGTTAAATTAATGCGTTTCTCGCACCTTCTGAAGAATACTTGTGTACAAGGCAAAAACTTTTGGTTTCTTCTTGAACTAAGCGCTTAGATAATGCGCTTGTAAGTCCTCCCAACCACCTCACAAACACCCCTCATGGCACCCCCTTTTTTATGCACGGCATTCGCAGGCACGACATGCCAGAAATTTGTGACGTTTAAGGACGCAACTTGGAGGCAGCGACTTCTTGACAGGACATTAACTTGCACATGGATAAGTTGAAGTGGAAGACAGTGCGAACTGTCTAACTGTTTTGTGTCTTTATGTGTGTGCGAGTGTGTGTGTTTGTGCGTGTATGTGTGCCATATGACTGCTCTGATGATGATTCATGATGATGATCTTTGTCTTTGCCATTGCTTGCAGTTTTTGCCTTGGCCATTTTCGTTGTCATTTTTCACTCGCAAATGTTCTGTGTGGTGGGCAGTGAGGGGTTCGGCTGTGGAATGTATTCTACGACTGATAGCAATGTCTGCGTTCCGACCTGCCCGCCGGCCGCCTTTTTCGACAGCCTATTAGTTTTTATTATTTGTTGCAATTAGTTTTCGGCCTCGACAGGGCCCTCGTCTGTTGTGCACGGCCCGACGCGGCTTATGACACTTTTGTGCGCATTTTTCAACGGAATGAGCGTCATCTGTTGCCGCTGGGCTGCTGTTTTTCTCGCTGCCATTGACAAAAGCCAAACAACAGCAACAGCAACAAGAACAACGACAATAAGTGCGAGCCGTCTGATATCTATGATAAATTATGGCCAAAAGTCAAAGTCATCAATCAGCGGACCATGTTTTATTTGCCTCGCCCGTGGCCATTTGCCATTTGTGTAGTATGCACAACGTTTGACTGACGGAGCCACGCCCACGCCCACGCCCACACGCACGCTAACGCCACGGCCTACGCCAAGGTTTCTGTTAAGGAGGGAAGACATTGTACATCTGCTAGCCAAAAGGATTAAATATAAATCACCAGTGCGTTGTGTAGCTCAGGTGTCGCACATTTCGATTTAATTTTCATTAAAATTCAGGCATTAAATATGCAAAAGGTAAACTGCGGCAACCGACCGCTTTGGGCCCCCACCGCATCGACCTGACCGAAGCCCATTAAAATTCCTTAAAGACCAGGCCAGAACACGGCTTGGCACGACTCCTTTTCATTTTCGAGTGCTTATTAATATTGCAAAGCACCAGAGCCAGGATTTGCGGACATTATGATGCGGTGAATGCGAATTTATGCGACTCGTTGCCCAACCTCTTCACGTCCAACCCTGCTGGCTGCAGCTATAAAATTCTCTCGCCCAGCTTTTGCCTTTTTAATTATGCATTTTTATCTGGCAACAGTTGCCGAGTGGGCCAAGCAAAGCCATTTTGGCAGCTATTTTTGCCACTTAGCTATATCAACGGCACATCTATTGCATTAACAACTCTTCACTGCTGTCCCACATGGCGTATGCGCAATTTATGAATCGAGCTCTCAGCGCATTGCATTGATCAGCTCTGAACAGCCCTCGAGTTGAGTGAGCGTCCTCGTCAGTGCTTGGCACTTGTGCAATGCCCCCCCCTCAGCCACATTCTGTTCACCACGAGTGCCCCTCTCTGCAAGAGGGCAGACACGGTAGCTGCCGCCTGTCAAGTTGTAGACGAAAAATCCTTGACATGCATTGATGCTGTCAACCGCAGATGTCTGGCACTCACAATTAGTATCATTTGGGTTTGAAATTAGTTCCATTTTAGGAATTTTTAAGCAGATGATAATTGAATGACCCTTAATCAGAAATCTGGATAAAGAGTGTATCAATGAGACAATATTATATACTGAATGGTATGTGCTCTATTTTCATCTTCTTCTTTTTCTTTAGTTTATAGATTCAATCTTCCATTCTTCCCCTCCGTATATCTAAGTATAACCCTTTCAGCTTTGTATTATCTCGCAAACAGTGTAAGAACTTGAGCTAAAACCTGCTTGCCCCATCCCCTGGACACGTACTTGAATCAAGCTTAAAATGAATTGAAACCTTTTTACCTCAACACCTACGCAATTTACCTTCACCGTGCCACCCCGTGGTCCCTCCTGGCCGCTGGCGCATGTTTTAGATATGCAATGCGGATGCCTTTGGGAAATTAACGGCACATTTTAAGAGCACCGTCAACGCTCGCTTAAATGTCTTTCATTGTGGCAAGACTTCAGGGAGTGTTGCGCAATCAGCAAAATTTGCACACTTTTAAGGTGTGTTTCGTCAACTGTAGATTGAGAATAGGGAACTAGGTGAGAAGGTAGAGAAACCTGCAGAAAAGTAGAACGAAAGCTTAACAAATATTTGGGGATTCAATTACATTTTGACACATTGGTTCTCAACCTAAATCATTTGGCTTTTAACGAAATTGGAGAATAGAAATTAAACAAATCTGCAAATCAAGAAATAAAGTGTTAGTAATAATAATTTTAAAAGTGAGGACAGTCGCCGCCAGATAAACTGTCCAAGTCACCTTGGCAACTCAACAGTCAAGATTCGGGTTCGAATTATTAGGCAAGTTTTTGAATGTAGGTTTGCTTTTGCCGCAGATCAGTGCTATTTTAAAGCATACTCACTTAATTATAGTTTAAAATGAATTAAATATCTAATCAAATGCAGCTTGATCTTATGCTTAGCAATAGCTTAACGAGTAAAAGCTGAAATAAAATCCTGAAATGATCCTGCGAAGCGTCCTCGCCAGAACTGATGTACAAGGTTCGGACTATCTTAGGTGGATTCATTGTATTTTTAGTAAATACTTTCTAAACTGCACCAAAGTGAAATGCTGTTCTGCTTTTTATCTTAAACTCAAGTTAAATATCGTCTTTTAAGCTCAGGGTAGAAAAATATTCTGCATGTTTTCAGTCAATTCGAGCTAGCTGTTCTGCAACTAATATTGCCCTCTATGACTAAGGATTCAAAGTTTACACTCTTTAAAGTATTTTATTATATAGAGCTACGATTTTTAATCGAATTTATACTATTAAATGGCACACAAAATTCGCGGTATACCTTCACAGCACTTAAATCTGTCATGTAAATGTGAAGTTGAAAATTACATCATGTTACGCCCGGTCAGAGCCGATAAACAGCCTATAAATCACTCACTTTGATCTCATCGATATTTTCCCAGTACAACAATTTTATTTCGTTGCATTTTGGTGCGCATAAATCAAGTTGCATGTGGAGTACTGCGCGGGGTGCGCAACCCAATCACCCGACTTGCAACAATGCCAGCTTTAAATACCAACGACGGCATAATTTATGATGGTACGCAGATTCCACAGAGTCGCATCGACCGGAGACAGATGTGACATCAACAATGAACACGACCTCTGGGCGCGAATGGAGTGTCGAATTTTGATAAAGGCTGCCGGAATTCGAAAACATCTTTCAAAAGTTGAATTATAGGGTAAGTAATATTAGGGATGGAGCTGCAGCTCTAGGAAGGAACATTTCGGCGCATATATTGGAACACTTTTAAAAAGTTGGCAGCCCTTAAAATACAACGTTATCAACGGGGATTTGAAACACCTCAAATTGGTGTTCCTATGAAAAGTACAATAAATATGTAGATATATTTATCAGAGCATACATAATATAAAACCTCTTTAATTAACCCCATTCATTGGTTTTAACAACATGGCTAAGTTCTTTTGACAAATCTTCTTGAATGTAACAGAATCAAAACATAAAATTGGTATGACTATAAAAAATATAGTAATTACTTGCTTCAAGCTATACCCATCGGGATTAACAATTACACGCTTCAATCTTGTAAGCAAGTTGGCAGCTCTCCCATTGACAGGATCACATATATTTGTGTACATGGAATATTCTATGTGCTCGTAGTCTTGTGTGCGAGTGTGGGTGAGCTGAAATATAGAAAAAGTTGCAGTTGAACTTTTCAGCATTTGTCAGAGAGTCAGAGGATTTGTTTGCCTTTGGGGGCTGGCCAAAGCCAACAATTTTACTGGCTGGTCCGCTCCTTCCGTCGTAGTATTGTATTTGTTTGTTTATTTTACGTTCGCCCCACTATTTGTTTTCTTTCCAATTTTGTAATTTCAAACTTTTTCTATTGATTTCTTGGCACGCATGAACACCTTCAGCAACAACGCCGATGACGACAGCAATTGCTATTACGAGTCCTGCGGATGCATGCGAACGGATGTGGATGCGGGTGATTCGAAGACAGCAAGTTGCAAAGTTCTTAGAGTACAGGGGGGCCAAGAGACGAGCACTCAATTTAAGTTGTGGGCGAATGGGATTGCCTTGTAGCTGCAGCTGCAGCTGCAGCTCCTTCGTCTTGACCATGCGTGGAAATGCACAATTTAAAGAAAACAAAACAAAAAAAAGAAGCTAGAAAGATAGAGAGAAACTTTCTAATGCACTTAACACTCTATTTCGCAGCCAAAAACTGTCAGCGGCACTTTTCCACATTTATAATTGTGTCAATCGGATGGAAACTTGTCCCTGCCCTCTACACCTATGTGAACCTTTATATTTTCCACAGAAATTCTTAAATAATTCACATGAAGCGCACACAATATATCTCACCTCAAGCGAAAATCTTCAATAAATAAAAGCATGACGGTCAAGTGCCTTACAGGATCATCTCTGGCGGATTGTGCTGGGTATATATAATATATATATGTAATATAATATGATTAGATCCTTTTGTTTTTTGTTAGTTTTCATGAGTACAATAATAACGAAATAAAGTCTAAAAAATTCCTTTTATTGTACATACTTTTTTTAATACACTGTCTATACTATTTCCCTGTGGTATATAGAAAAAATATTACTTCATTCAAGATACTTTATGCTTGACAAAAATTATATTTTAGTAATTTGAAGCACTTTTCTCATCCAAGCTAAAAGCTTACCTACAAAACAGTTGAGTATTAATATTCTAATGTTTAGCTCGCAGCGCGACTCGGTGCAACTTTAATGCTCAGCGAGTGTTCATCAAATATTCCAACAAATTATAAAAGCAAAAGTCGCAGCACAAAACGATTACATGACTCGAACCCCCAGTGGAAATCAGCCACAGAGGGCAGCCAACCAACTGCGGAGTAATTCCTCGAAATGCACGTCTCCCCGCCTAATGGCGATTAGGTAAATGAAAACATTGCGTGCTGGCGACATTTTATATGCGAGTGCTTGTCGGGCACAGGGCGCCGCTTTATTTGCTATATTTCATGCCTGCCTGCACTTATCTCCAATTGTTCATCACACCCACCCGGCAGAGGCACCCATTGGGTCAACTGCGTCTGCGATTGGAACTGGGACTGGGATTGGGACTGGGATTAAAACCGAAACTGTGGGGCTGGCCAAATGTCATTTCAGTTGGCAGCAAGCTTCGTTTCAACTTTACGTCCTAATTACTCGCACAACACAAAAACGCCACTTCAATTTGAATTAAAATGAGTGGGCAACACCACGAGGCTAGCAGACCATGGGATTTACCCATCGCCCATGGTGGGTCACAGCTGGCGCCACAGTTTTTAATTACCGCCTACACAAAATTACCGCTGCAGTCCGACCACGAAAAAATCTATTAATTGCCGACTGTGTGGGGCATCGCTTGTAATGGTTTATAATCGATTTAAGCAGCGCCATTATGGGGCCCCTTTCTAAATTGCATTTTCGACTGTGACAAATGGGATTTATGTTGTACAACTTTTTAGATTGTTAGGACAGCGGACTATGAAGTTATGCCTCATCTAAATATTACTTATGTAGACAGGGGGCAAAAAGTTCCTTGGACTTAAATAAAAATGAATATGGGGCGATTACATAGATGTGTAGAAATTTGATCGAGCTTAATTAAACTGCCACTTGCCATTTATTTTAAGTCCCTAGACAAAGAAAGTGTTTCCTCCGTCTATTTATTTATTTTCAAAGAAAGGTTTTTGTTCCTTCTTCGATTTTCAATCGATTTTTAATTGAAACTGTACAAAAATGTTTTCCATCACACTGAATATTCACAATTTTTAGCACTTCTGCCTCAGATTTAGTATGTAATATTGGAATAATTGATTGATTACATGAGAATCAATCGATATTCGGCCGCATTGGTTTACCCGTTGGATTGCGGTTCGCTCCCTTTTCAAAGTGAACTTCCAATTAGAAGCTGTTGCATGTAGCAGTTGACCATCAAAATCAGTCTAGTATAAGAGACATATTCCTTTCTCTCAGTCCTCCCCCTCTGTTGTCGTTCCTTTGTCACCATGTGCACCACCATCATGGATGGACTGAGGTTAGCTCGTTATTGTTGCCACTGGCTTCGCCGTCAATTGCAGCTGACTGCACCACAAAATTCAACGCAATTTGTAAAATGAAATCGATTCAATTGATTGTTGACTTCGCCAAACACACACACATAAACACACACACATACACACAGACAGATGCACACACACACATGTGGCATTGTGTGTCCCTTATAAAGCAATGGATGCCATCCTGCAGGAAGCAAGTGCCAGCTACGGTGACAGGTGTCTGAGGGGTGAATGTGTTCAATGTTGTTGTCCTTTGCCGGCCTTTATTCAGTGTGTGTGATTGTGTTTGTGTATGTGTGTGTGTGTTTTGCACTTTGCTTGATTAAATTTCAATATTTACTAAAATGTCGCTGAACTCTTTTTGACAGCTCTGTAAATTTCATAACCAGAATGGACATAAAATATGGTCAACAGTGTGTAAATTTGAACATGACAAGGACATAAAAGGACATAAGTGAAATGAAGAGAAGCCATTCGATTTTTTTCCCAATCACAATTTGCTATAGTTTGTGAAGTGTTTACAAGAGTTTTATTAAAGCGCAGTCTCAGATCAAAGTATACATGCAGTTAATCAGATTTAAATGGAATTTTCGTTTTTCAGAAAATATTTATAAATATTTTCATTTGTCGATAAATATTATTGATGGCTTTTGGAGATATCACTTATGGGCAGGAACGTGATGAATATTGCTAGGCTTCGAATATTGATATGTATTACCGAAAATAAACTCATGCAATTTAAATATATTTATTTAAGATGAGATCCTGCTACTTTTCTCAAAACACATGCATACATATTATATTAGGTTCTTTAAAAACGTTGATTTTACTATCACAATTGACAACTAATATTTAAATTCACACTTTTGTCGCTTTAGTTTGGTGACTCTCAAAAATACAAATATTTTGTGTGTCTGATAACAACTTGTTGCTTTGAGCAGATAATATTATTAAACATGGATCCTATTGCAGATAGGTAAGTTGTATATTTAAGAATTCGGAGCTGGACCCTACTAATCGTATATCAGTGTGTGTCCTGATAACGATAATGAAAAGCTTGGCGCTGTTCGCGATAATAATAATGCCGAGGAAACAATAGCTCTTTGTTTAGAAATAAATGAGGTGCCGAGTAGTATCAACGACGAAGATCAAAATGAAAAGATTAAAGGCTTAATCAGGATTGAGTTGCATGAGGAATTGGATTTTCCAGGACATGCAAAGCTTGGAGAGTTGACTCAGTTTGAGTTCCATGAGGAATTGGATTATCCAAGTCGTATCCAAGAAGCTCAAAATGAAAATATTGAGGATTTGGTACAATTTGAATTGCATGAAGAGTTTGATTATCCAAGTCGTATCAAAGATAAAGATCACGATGAAAAGATTAGAAAGTTGATCCAGATTGAGTTCAACGAAAATCCGTATGATATAAAAAAAAAGGCACAAGATGAAAGTATGAAAGATTTGGTTAATGATGACAGCCCTTGGTACGAAGAGGAGGAACCAGTCTATAAATTTGGCAACTCGAAGCAAGTAGAATCAGAGTATATTGACTTAGACTGGGACTTTAGTTTTGGTAATACCAAAAGTGATGACGATATAATTGGTGATTTTGTCAAAATTGACTTTCCCAAGGCAGAAGATGGAAGCGTGAGCGGTATCTACAGCGGCGATGTTGATTTATCCAAAATGGAAAAACTTTTCGAGACATCGGAGATACTTTCCTTGAAAGAAACTCTTGAGCAAAACGGCTTTGAAGATGCGCACGAAAATCCTATATGCTCTGATAGCCAATATGTTGAGGTTAGTTCCTGCGTTGACAATGAAACACCCATAATACCCGACTTTGAAATTGATTATGATAACATTTATGAGAACATCGCGAACGCGAGCAAAATTGAAAAGCACCTGCAGCTGCTCTATAGACCCTTCACCTGCCTCGTAGACGTCAGCTGCCGTTTCAGCCTGTACGAGCTGGCGATTCTGTTGGATGAGGCCCGCTACGAGCCCGCCCATCATCCGGCATTGTTTGTCCGCCTACGTAATCCTAGTGCCGAGATAAAGATATACTCTGGCGGCAAAATAACCTCCATGGCCTTGACAGCAGTTTCCGCGCGCACAGCTCTGCTAAAGGTTATCCACATGGTCGAGGAGCTTGACTACAAGGCGGACATCACGCACTTTAGTAAGAATAATGTGCATGCCTCTTTCTGTCTGCCCTTCAAAATCGACCTGGAAATGCTGAGCGAATTGCATAGCGAACACATTTCAGGTAATCGTGATGTGCGACCCTTCATCACCTACAAAATCGATGGCACCGCAATAAGATTCGCAGTGTTCGCCAATGGCTATGTGCTCGTCCTGCACTCCAAGCAGCACAGCGAGACTCGAGCGGCCATAGCTGGCTTCCTGCCGATCTTGGCGCAGTTTCAGAACGGTTACTTAACTCCCTCCGAGAAGTACGGCACCCTAAGTGGCGATATCTCGTTTAAGCTGCTGTGGGAACGCAAGCTCGAGGAGGATAAGGAGGGTGTTTTACTCTATTCTTAAGGGCTGCTTTTCTACAGTATTTCTTTGTTGTTCTTGTATTTTTTTTTTCAAAAATGCTGTGAACATTTGTCATAAACCAAACTTGTGTAGTACGTGCACTGTTTACACTCTGAAGTTTGGGGCCCACTCGCCAACTTGTTTAAATACGTGATTTATTTACCATCCAGCTGCTGCTGCGACTGCGACTTCTACTGCAACTGCGATTGCTGCGGGGCCATCACTTTACTGGCGGTTGGTCCTGGTAACTGAATATAGGGCTATGCACAACTCGAAAGCCACGCCAAAGTTGCCAAACACAACCAGCAACACACAGCACACACACACAAACACACAAGCACACTCACACCTCCACAAATAGAAGAACAACATACAAATTGCAACAGAAGTTGCCGCAGAAGTTGCAACAACTGTAGCTGCAACAGGCGCATACATAAATAACGCAACACTCTGCGCAACACAATAAGTTGAAAAAGATGTCACATTATGCGGGCACAAAACTTGCTCCAAATACGTTTTAGACGTGCTAAAAGCACCTACTATTCGTAGATAACTGGCAAGGAGTCGTGGGCACTGCGCTTATTTTGATTTTAGAGATCTTATCTTAGTCGGAATCGAGACTATTAAGCGACATGTTGGAGCGCTTAGGCATTTAAGCTATGAGTGTTTCTTAGTTTAGGTTTGTGGGATAGCTTTCGATTGAGCTAATATCACGGAGATTTTTAATTGATGAGATAGTACACAAGATCCCAGAAAAGGAGTTCTGGTCTTACCAAGAGCTGGTCGCCTTTTATCGATTTTGTTATGACTGCTTCTGCAATATGGGGTATATAGGGTAGTCTGGCAGCGTGTCAAGAAGTAAAGCATTATCATTATTTATAAAATGGGGCACATATGGGGAGCATACTTATGCTTAATTGTTTATAAAACAATAAAAATGTATTGACTGTCGCTCTGTTTGTCTGACTGTCTCATCCATGTCAGCTGCATTTCAATTTGGCGATAAATTCCTGCGATTACCTCCCGAACCGTCCAAAACTATGATTTAACTATTTGAAGAACGCCGTAGTCCAGTTGGAAGACTTTGTTGTACCACAATTACCTCAGACTTAAAACTTTAAATTTGTTCGCGCATCCAAACTGCAATTTTGAAGATATTGTATATTTGGTCATCTGACTAATCAAAAATCAAACAATCAAAGTATTAGCATTTGCATTAGTTGAGCCCACAAATGTTGCTCTACATTTATGTAGCTAATCTAAGATTATGTAATCAACATTAATGAGTTAATAATCATCTGCGTAATAAAATAAATATCGAAATCAAACCGCTGATTAGCAAAAACATTTATTTATTTATGCATTTTTCTCTATCGCATAATGCGCAGTTCTTTATTGCGCATAACAAACATAAATAAATTGTAGATAAGTTTCCATTTGAAAATGTTCAACAATTGCATGTAATGCGGTCCGTTTTGGTATTAGTTTTTGGTCATTAAATGTTGGCAAGTTGCCAAGTTGCCGACAGTCCGACCGTCCGACCGTCCGACTGTCCGACTGTCCGACCATCGACGCCCATTTTAGTCGCATCATTTGGCGCCAGGCGTTCAAATAGAAATTGCAAAAAATAAAATTATTCTAGCATATCGGTTAAGCATTGCTGAACACGTACGATATTATGGCACATACGAGTAGGAAAAACGAGAAAAAATGTATATATAATTCCCTGACAGCAATTTTGCACAGAGAGCAAACAATGCATTGGGGCATGCCCCATATGCTGTTTCTGTTTCAAATGGCCTTTATAATGTTAAAAGGGACAAATTAAAACAAGAAGCAAGATATACGAGCATGTGACATGCTGAAATTAAAATAATTGCGTCTGTTATACCATCCGATTCTATTCTAAACAAGTGGGAATCTTTTAGGCGGACTACACTGGCTGCACAATACTCTGCTTATGCAGATTGTAATGCATACAATTTTGATTGCAGCTGTTTATCTCCGAATTCTTCACACGATGAAAACTGACTTTCAAACTGACTTTAAAGGAGATCTTAGAGTACAAGATCATAAAATAAGAGATAAGCTGAGGTTATATTAGGTAAGTTTTTGAAGCCATTCGACCCGCAGATATATTTTAATATTATTATGTATGTATCGGTTGGAAAACAATTTATTTTTTATGGCATCCGATCGAAAGAAACAAAATTGAAATTAGAATCTACCTTCTTTGAAGTAGATTTCACGAAATGCAGATAAAGGATCTTCAAAACATTTTTAAATAAATTGTAAAGATAGTTTTGGCGACCTTTCCATGATATAATTATATATTTGGCTGATTCGAGGTCCCCGAATTATAAATAATATAAAACTAAATGAAGTAAGTTATATAAATATAACCAAATAAAATATAGTAAATAATAACATTAAAAATGTTGACATTCAGCAGAAGTAAATGAGACGGTATCCATTAAGAACTTCATATATTAGAAAAGAGACAAATGGATTTTGTCTTAATGTTTAATAAAATAAAGATTACTTTATGAGATGAGACAGAAAAGTTTGGAATAAATTAGTTCAACTTATTGTTTATTCCATTTTCATATGAACTAACAATATGAACATTTGGCATGCGGTGTCACGTTTCAGATGACTGAACGATACTTGAAAGCAAGTGCGTAATATGAAAGGAGCATGTTGTTCATACTAGCTGCTGCTGCTTGATATGTTTAGCACACATGTACACATACATATACACATACATATACTGAATGTATAGCATACATATGGGGGCTGATTTGTGTAGAAGAGCTGTGACCAGGGCCGAAACGCCAAAAAGCTGCTTCAATTTAATTTGACTTTGATCGCCAGCTGACGCAGTTGGTGTCATCCCCATGTCATGTACTCGTCCTCCGGCTCGCATATATGGAAATCTGCCATATTATATGGGAGCTTGTCGCATTTTGTTTATGGATATGCTCGCAGCATCCGCGCAAGCTGTGCGCAAATTACAAAACGACTCAAATATCGTATTCAGAACATTTTGTAATTTCAATCAATGAAATTTATGAAAATTGTTTAACAGTTGAATGTTTATCACAATATTTTTTATGTTCTTTTGCAACGTTCTTTTTCAATCAGTTTTTTAGGCACTTAAATGTAATACTCTTTTACACTTGAGTTAGTTTATGTTAAATTTCATTTTTATAGCATTGCGTTTATGAACTAAGACAGTAGGAAATCTTTTTTTGCCCCATCAAGATTATTGTTGCTCTTGTGTGTGTTGTGTTTTTTTTTTTTTGTTTTTCATCTACTCTGCGAGTCTTTAAAATGTAAATACATAAACACAAAGTTGTGTATCTCATGTCGAATGTGGGTTGTGTTTTATTGCCAAAAGTGCTGCGAAGTAGCTGAAAACTTCATAAATCACAAAAGTTTGTTTGGCCATGAAAAGGCTTAAGGGTTTATCAAAATGAAAATTTATTGGTGCTCAAATACTTGGAATTTTAGATTTATGTATTTTCGTTTCCCTTGTCACTGGCCGTAGGAAATACGCATAACATCGATATCTCGTAACATAAAAACGAGCAACAAACTCGAAAAGAGATTTGCTCGAAACGAAGCAGAAACAAAACCCAGCTCTGCGTAATTTCCATCACAATATTAATACAATTCTCTCCTTATCGTAACAGTAGAAAATTGCTGTTAATTTCAATTTACGAGAGAGTTTCAGAAATGCTTCGATGCAATGCAGGCCAATTTGGCCAGGTAAACGATACCGATTACACGTATTCATTACAATTGAATCCGATTGGGCGTCAGTTATGCTGCAGCAACACAAATACAAGCAACTAAGTATGCATTTTTTGTTAGATTTGAAGTTGTTTCCGTTGCTGTATCATGTGCACATTAAAACTAACTAGAAAAGGGGTATGATAGAAAGAAACTTAGGTCGACCTCATCTCGATTATTTCTAGCCACACATTCGGAAAGAGGATCTCGGATACCAAACATAGATAAGGTTTGTTTCGGGTAAGAAGTTTTCTGCTAAAAAGTGGAATCGCTTCCAAACTATTTAAAACTCAATGCCAATTCTTCTCGAAACAGCTTGTTCTCTTATCTATAAACAAATCAAGTGAATGGAATGAAAGGTGTATTGATTTTCCGAGTATTCTGTATTGGTAACCAAAACCATCCAAAATCTATTTGACCGTAATAACGCCAGAGATTTCCGTGTCAGACCTTACTACAGCGTATCTCCTAGTCGAGCACTCGACTATAGCTGTTATACTCTCACTTGCTTTTAGCATCATTTTTCAAAGCGACTGCGTTTCCTGCAGCATTCTGTTGCCAAGTGAAGCAGCTGGCATTAATTTTCATTTAAATTCCGCTTGTTAAATATGCAAAACTCTCTTTGTGGTCCAGTTGGGCAGCACGGAACCCGCAGCCCAGGCACCAGCACATTTTCTCACCAATCTCTGACAGATGCCTGTTAACGAACCAGTTGCCCTTGCGAGTTATTATTAAAATTGCAATGCTCCGTTCTCCACACCTTGGCTGAGTGTGTGACGTAAAATCTTTGTGGCTTCTCACAAAATTGCAATTGCGAACAATTTCTTTTTGTGTCTTTGTAGATGTTTGTGGCCACAGTCTGTGATAAAGTATTTATGGAAATCTTAATGAAATGATAAGAGTCTCGCATTAAGCAAGCTCCTCATAAAACTGTATATTTCCGGGCACATCGGATTGCATGTAAATCGAAATTGTGAGCGACAGAACTTTCACAAACTATTTTTCCATAAATTATACCCATTGATAATTGTTATAGAGTGTAACCGACTTAGCAATCGGCTTCAAATTCAATACAAATATCTTTGGGGAAAATTCATTGCACAAGTATTTCATATAGCTTGTAACCCCCCCCCCCCCCCCCCCCCCCTCCCAATCCAACGGTCATATGAGCGAAGTTTCGGGTGAGAGACAGATGTATAAAGTAATATTATAAAAAATGTACCGCGCAAAGCCGGGTAAAAGTGAAATATTTTATATGCATTTGAGCACATATGTAAGCTAGGCTATG